TCTTTTTTTATAGGGACAAACAGAGAGGAAATAAAGTTAATACATTTAAATAGGGAAATAAGTAAATGAGGAAATATTAAATAGCTAATGAGAAGAATTCATTAAGATGTGTAATATTTGACTTTGAAGGAATCCATCTTTGGAGCATGAAATAAAGAAAGTAAGGTATAAATATGTTTACAAATTATGCTTCCATATTTTAAGAAAATTTGTAAAATTCAAATTTATGAGGATGTATATGTGAATATGTGCATCTGAGTTTATAAATATTAGTGTGTGAAAATATACATATGCATATGTGTTATAATTATATGGGCAGCGACAATAATTGAAGAAGTAAATGAGAGTGGTCCATATGTCTAGATTTTCATCATTTTTCTTTCCTCTGAATGGGGAAACATCAATTGTCCCACCTTAGATGGTGGCTTGTGTGCTTTTAAGACCCTAACCACTGCTCACTAATATAGGATAGAGAACATCATCTTTGTGAACTATGTTACGCCAGTTGGCTTTGCCTCCTGAGACTATGGCCTTAATTCCCAAGAACCAGCAACTCATTCTTTAAGGTGTTTGATTAAGTCCAAGATGTTTTTATAATTCAGCCCCTACATGAGTTATCTTTTAAATTTGTTTGAGTACATACTTACAAATGGGATTACCAGATCATATGGTAATTATCTGGTTAACTTTTACAGACCTGCTACACTGTTGACGGTTTCCCACAGCAATCTCACCTTTTACATCCCATCAGGAATGCACAGGGGCTCTAATTTCTTCATATCCTGGTAATACTTGTGGTTTTGAGTTTCATTTTCCCTAGTGACTTATTAGGGAAATCTCTGAGTGGTGCAATCAAGGCTCTCAGTTGCTAACCAAAAGGTTGGAGGTTTGCATTTACCCTGAGGTGCCTCAGAATAAAGGCTGGCTATCTACTTCAACAACAACAAAACAATCAGCTATCAAAAATCCGATAGGGCAGAGATCTGCCTGATTCATATCGGTTCACTATGACTCAGCATAGATTGAACTGAAATGGGTCACTGGTGGAAATTTATGAGGTTTAGCATCTTTTTGTGCAATTTTTGACTGTTTGAAAATTTCTGTGAGTTTCTGAGACTACAATTCTCTGAGGGAGTAGAAAGCCCCATCTTCCTTCCACGAGGGGGTTGGTGGTTTTGAGCAGCTGCCTTTACGTTTAGCAAGCCAACATATAACCAAGACGTCATGAGGTTAACTGTCAACCATGATGTTCTAGGAAAACTTTTAATCTACGTATTACAGTGTATGTGAACTCACAAATAGAAATGATCTGCAGGTGGTTATAATGCATGTATTTTTTTCAGAATTTGACATGTTTTATTACCCTTAGAAACCCCTGGTTATACGTGGGCTGTTTTCTCATTAGCACCCTTACAAATTCTTAGTATTATTCTGCAAAGTTTATTTAGAACAGATCTCACTCCATTTACCACTTATATGTGAACGCCACAAAGGAAGGAAATGGACCTTTTGCCTTTTATATACGGTTCTGCTTTTAGCTCAGAATAATAATGGTGTTTGTTTTTCAATGACTTTATGGTTATAGAGGATAATGATAAATCCATGATTAAAAATAAACAGCTTCAATTTTTCATAATTTATTTACTGTCACAGGTTCCCAGAACAGGAAGATATTCCCCGTTTTGCCCCAACAGAATAAGTGTTTGGTAAGGTAATACCAAGAGGCTGTCAGATTCTTTGTCCATTTCCTATCAATAATTAGGTCTATTTCTAGTTTTCCAGTGATTTAAGGAATTATGAAGAAATGTTTCCTGGCTCAAAGGTCATAGTGAGATAGTCTTTAAAATTTTTTTTAATTGGCGATTTTAAGCAATTCACACCCATGAAAACATATATAAAACATACAAAGCTTTATACAGTGAAAAGAAATCTTCTCTTCTTATCCCCAGTGACACAATTCTCTTTTCTATAAGAAATCATTGCTACCAGCTTCTCCTTTCTTCAAGAAATACCCCATGTATTTGTAAACATAAATATATGCACAGCTATCAACGTTTTAGTCACATGAAAGATAGTTGGAGAGGCTGCTCTCTGCAGCTGGTTTTACCGATGATTACATACCATGAGGACAGTTTCATGATCAAGTGTCATGTACATCCTCCTCATTTGTAAAAGCTATGTAATACTCCATGCAGTAGAATGCAATAGTTCGACCAGTGTTTAATTAATGCAAATTCAGATTGTCCAGTTTCTTGATGTTAGAAATAGGTTATAATGAATATTCTTGTACATAAGTATATTTTGTATGTAGTTATATATCAGTTAAATTAATATCTAAAAGTGGAATGTGTTGCTAGGCCTAAGGGATTGTCCTTTAAAATTTAAAAGTTACTGGAAAAATGTCCTTCACTGGTATTGTACCAGTTTATTGTCTACTAGTAATGGATATGAAAGCCAATTTCCACACCCCAAATTATTTTTCTAGACTTTTCCATTTGTTTTTTTCTAATAGAATGTTTTTCATATGTGTAAAAACTGTTGCTTTGTAGTTTTGTCTAATAATTGTAATCTTTTTTGTAGTGTTGATGGTATTTTTCTTTCTTTTCTTTAATAGTTTTATTGGCATATACTTCCCATATGGTATTTTTCAAATTGATCTCAAGATGGTTCTATTTATCAAATACATTAAACCATTTCTCTATGATGACAAATGAAAACATGAGAGCTATCTGGACAACTGAAATATAAGTTTAATCGGAAAAATAAATACAATTTGTTGTTGAGTAAAGACAAAACGTTTTAATAGAAACATTTCATTTTGCCATACAGTTATAACCTTGTATCCTAAACTCAGAAACTCCCTGCCGTCGAGTTCGTTCTGACTCAGTGTGACCGTATAGAACAGGGAGAACTGCCTCTGTGCGTGTCAGAGACTAACTCTTTATGGGACCAGAAGGGAGCAAAAAGCTTTGTCTTTCTCCTGTGGAGCTGCTTGGTAGTTTTGAACTGTTGACTTTGTGGTTAACAAGTGTAATCACTATGCCACCAGGGCTCCTTAAGATCTTGTATAAAGTACCCAAAATTTCAAACTATAGATCTATAACTTTTAAAACTAAAGAGTTGAAGTTTATTTTTGAGATCCTTTGTAGTCCTATAGATTCTAGGAAGTATAAAAAAGTACCATGGTATATAACAACAACAACAACAAAAGTATGAATGGATTTCTGAATGATACGTTAGCTTTCTTTTTAACCAAAAAATGTCAGCAATTTTCCTTGTCTTGATATCATTTTAACTAAGACTTTCATTTCATGTGCCCTTGTGTTAGGCTGGGTTGACTAGAGAAAAAAAATCCAGTGACACTCATATATGTATAAGAGAGAGCTTTATATAAAGAAGTAATTATAAAGCAGGAAAATATCCCAGCCCAGTCCAGATCAAGTCCATAAGTCTGATACTAGTCCACAAATCCCTCTTCAGACTCATGCAACCCCATGCAATGATGCAGAATGCAGGAGATCACAGGCCGGTGTGCAGAGTCGTGTGGATCCAATGGTGGTGGCCACATCACAGGGCTTGCTCAGGTTTCAGCATGGCTCCTCTTGACTAGTTAGCAGGAAGGCAAAGCACAGGGAGAGTATGGCTTACCTCTAGGGCGAAAGAGAAAAGGGGGTGGGGGGGCAGCCTCAGAAAGCTCTTTATCTTGGTCACCTTCCAATCAAGTTGTGACCTGATTGACAGTCTAAATTCCTACAGGAGCCATGTTGGCACATAAAACCTAACTATCACAACCCAATAGTTTTTTCACTGCTTGTTTCATGTCTTTGTTCCTCAGACTGTATATCACAGGGTTAATGAGTGGAGTCAAAACGGAATAAAACAGGGTGACAATCTTCTGCATTCCAGCTTCATGCTCAGATGTTGGGCTTATGTACATGACCATCACTGAGCCGTAGAAGAGTGAAACCACAGCCAGATGAGATCCACAGGTGGAGAAGGCTTTCCTTCGTCCAGCTGCTGAAGGGACTTTCAACACAGCTCTCAGGACCAATGTATAGGAGCCCATGATGAAGATAAAGGGAATAAATAAAAGTAGAGAACTCAAGGTAGAGCTAGTCAACTCTATTGCTGGGGCTCTGATACAAGTGAGAGCTAACAGAGGACCTGGATCACACAGGAAGTGATCTATAATCCGAGATCCACAGAAGGACATCTGGGAGATGATGCTGATAGGAATCAGGAACCAGAGAAAACCAAGTACCCAGCAGGTGATTACAAGATGGGTGCAAAAACGTCCAGTCATAATGGTTGGATAGTGTAGAGGCCGGCAGATGGCAAGGTATCGATCAAATGCCATAACTGCCAAGAAAAAGCATTCCGTAGAACCCAGGGAGAAGAAAAAGTAGAATTGGAGAAAGCACCCAGAGAAAGAGATGACCTTGGTCTCAGAGAGGAAGTTGGCCAACATGTTGGGGACAGTGGAGTTGACATACCAGATTTCCAAGAAGGAGAAATTGGCGAGTAGGATGTACATGGGCGTGTGGAGTCTCCGATCCCAGCGCACAGCACATACGATAGAACCATTCCCCAGGAGGGTCAGACAGTAGACAATAAGGAAGAGCACAAAGAGGAGAGTCTGAGCCTCCTGGGTACAAGGGAAACCAAGAAGGACGAAGCCAGTGATGGTGCTGGAGTTGTTGAAAGTGTTGAAGATTTTCATGTATATAGGTAGCTGTAAAAATAAACCACCAAATACTGAATGACAGCGTAGAAAACAGAGACCCAAATATTTAATCTACCCTGTACTTAACCACTCCAGGGAATATACATTAAAGAATTAACTATGTCTCATACATATTGCATTGGGCAAATCTGCTGCCCCAGACCCCTTTAAAATGTTAAAGAGCAAAGAAAGGTATCGATCACTTTGAGGACTAAGGGCCTCCTGATCGAAGCTACTTTCAATGGCCTCATGTGCATGTGAGAACTGGACAATAAGGTAGACCAGAGAAGAATTGCTGTATTTGAATTCTGGGATTAGTGAGGAATATTGAAAGTACCTTGACTGCCAGAAGAACAAACAAATCTGTCGTGGGCGAAGTACCATCAGAATGCTTCCTAGAGGTCAGACTTTTGGACATGTTCTTTTCAGGCCCTGGAAAAGGATATTATGTTTGGAAAAGTAGAGGGTCAATGTAAGAGGAACACCTCAAGCAGAATGAATTGATATTGTGACTGCACAATGGGTTCTGACAGAACTGTGAGGATGATGTGGGGTTGAGTAGTGTTGGACTCTCTTGGACATTAGGGTCTTTGTGACTTGGAATACTATCCTGATTGAAAAGACCAGACATTACCGAATATTGGTGGCAGACAGAAGTTTTCTTATCGTGAGGTGTCTGAAAACATACATTAGATAAAGATTAAAACTCAAAACCAAACTTACTGCCATCAAGTCGAGGCCAACTTATAGGGCTCCAATAGGGCAGGGTAGAAGGCACCCTGGGAGTTACCGGGACTGTAACTCTTTCTGGGATACAAAGCTCATCTTTGTCCCTGAGAGCAGCTGGTAGTTTTGAACAGCAGACCTTGCAGTTAGCAGCCCAACTCATAACCACTATGCCATGTAGGCTCCTAGATAAATACACAACCTAATAAATAATTGTACAGAAAGCCCCATTGTAACGACCACCAAGATTACCTAGAAGCTCCTTTCATTCTCCACCCCAATGACTATTCTCTGTCTCTCCAACTGAACTATCTCCGTTTTTTTATAGGAATCACTTCCTGCTTTTAATAAAAATAATCTAGTAGCTCAATCATACATTTCTGGACAATGGTATGTAGTTTTACCTGTTCTTTTACTTTACATAAGTGGAATGATATTGTTTGCAGTAATTTGCAGATGGCGTCTTTTTGAACACGATATGTCCCTTACCAAGAGAGAAATCTTCAAAGTGACTCACTTAAAGGCCTCTTCAATTTTTGACATGATCAAATAATTTGTTAATTCATGCCACCTACTAATTTTTATGAGAAAAATTCAAATTAATTACATGAAATAGCTGCAGCATGTTTGTATTTGAACAGCTACCCAATCATTATGGGTTGATATAATCAAAGGATACAATCAACATATTTTTTTCCTGATTTGGTCTTGTTGACAAAGCTTGACTATCTGGTCATAAAAAAGTCTGAAAATCTATGGGTTCTTATTCTATATAACTGTTCTTATTCTATATAAACTGTGTAACCTAATGTAACTTTTCTTGAACAGGAAGAAATGTTTTTTTAGTTCCATCTCTCAATCACTTGCTTGGGACCAGCTCAAGGCAGAATGAGTTTGGATGATTACACACTGCACAATGGCATTCCTTTCTGAGTTAAAATGAAAAAACAATCATTAATTAATTCTGCACTCAGACATTGGATTTAGTTCCACTAGTCCTTTGTTAAAGGGACTGGATAAGTAATAAAGGCATGGATAAGTAATGTTAAACATATGTCTATTTTCCCTATATATCGCCTAATAAACTAACTAAATAAAGCATACAATAAGTTATTTTTGAATGCTACCATACTTACCCAAAGAATCCGATAATGATTTGCTTGGCATTTGCAAATCCAGTAGGTATGACTCACTATAAATGGTAGATGGCATCAGGGAGAGTCAAAAGACACTAGCAAAGTTATTACTAGTTTGGAAATTATAAAATATGTACAAAAACTTCCCTCTCTGAGTCTGTTCTCCTTCTAGATTTCACATGATCTTCTTGAGAGAAGTAACTCACATTTTCGATAATGTTGCCCAAGATTCTGCTGGTCTATGTTTAAATTTATATCCTCTGAGGGCTTTCTGGTCCTTGAACCATAAACTTCTAGTTTCTAAAATGCCCTTTCCTTCTTTTCTGCTTTAAAGCCGTGTGACTAGGGATTAAGTTTCATATACTAAGATGTATATCTTTTTTGAAAGTGAACTGAAGTCAGACATAAAAAATATCGAAATTAGTTTTCTTTCTTTATCTCTGTACACTATTTTCATTTGAGATGAGGTTTTAAGACTGGATCTTTTCTAAAGCAACCATTTCTTCCTTACTCTGGTTTTTAAGAGGAATTTCTAGCTAATGTTGGTTCCCAAAAAGTATGCTCCCTATTAATGAATAGGAATGACTTAAAGGAAAATTTTCTATAACAGGTGAAGGTTACTTACGGACTTTAAAATGCAGAAGGTTAAAAATAATCCTTTTTAGGTCTATGAATTTGTTAGCAATTTGGAGCAGAGCCATTTGGTTTTCATTAAATCAAAATAATTGATTATAAATTATGGTCGGGACAGTTTTTCAATGGTACATGGAGAGTAAGTTGACAGAGTAAATTTGTCCTCCATTCAACAATTTATACACATTTTATTTTGTGACATTGGCTGCAATCTTCTCAATGTAACAGCATTCTTCCCAGTGGGTTGCCCACTTTGGTTTGTCTTTCCCGCCTCCTCTGGTCTTCTGAACTTTACTTTTGGGAAAATGCTGCCCTAATAAGCTCAAATTCACTGCCATTAGTAGATTATGATTATAGTGACCCGAGAGGATGGGATGGAACTGCTCCTGTGGGTTCCCAAGACAGGGAACTCTACACAGGAGTAGAAAGCCTCATCTTTCTTCAGTGGAGCACTGGTGGGTTTGAACTGCTAATCTTGCAGTTAGCAGCCCGAGGTGAAAGACTCACTATGCCCCCCGGGCTCCGCTACCCTTATAGTCTTATATGGTTGCTCAACGGAGGAGTACATTTCTCCTAGGTGTGATGATCACTTTATAGACTTACCTGTTGTTTGGCTGAGCGTTGAGATTTGAAGTATGTTTAGTTTCAGTTTTGAAAGGTGCTAAGGACCACAGTCAGGGGTTTTTGCCAATCTTTATGAGACCAGTGAACCTGGTCTGTTTTATTATTTGGAATTTTGTTCTACATTTCCTCCCCTCTTCTGTCCAAGACCTTCTATTGTGATCCTGACCGGAGCAATCTGTACTGGTAGCTCGGCACCACCGACTTCTTCTGGTCTCAGAGTAGTAGAGAGTGTGGTTTACATGGTCCATTAGTCCATGAGACTAATGAGCTCCTTGATTCTTTGATTTTCTACTTTGCTCCAGATGAGACAATATCAATAGTTACATCTTAGATGATTGCTCACAAGCTTTTAAGAGTCCAGTTGTTAATTACTAAAATAGGTTCTAGAACATCATCCTTGTGGACTATGTAACGCATAGTGACCTAGATGTCGGTTGGACCTTTTCAGTGCAGGTATTTTGCAAGGCAAGGCAATCACTATGTCCCTCATCTCAAGATACTTTAGCACAGTGGATTGTTTAGTTAATGCTGAAACAATTTTTTTTTCAAATTATGGTTTACTCTATTTAAATGTTATATCTCTTCCTCTTACATCTAATTCATCAGCAAGAATTATTACTTCTTTTTCCAAAATATTACTTATATACACTCACTTTTCTTTGCCTCTGTTGTTATTTCCCGCAATTTAAACTCTTATCCTTTCTTCCTCTGATCATCAGCAATAACATCGTAATAGAACTTTCATTTTTAGCCCTCTACAATCCATTTTCCAGGAAGCAGCAGATTACGTGTTCCTGTAAAACAGAGCTTTGAGTAAAACTATTCTCTCTCAGAGCAATTCTGCAAGTGAAAGCTTTACTTTCAATTATCAGAGAATGAGAAAAGTATAAAAATGATTCTAGATGGACCATCACCATCTTAGTTTCCACCTAACAGATGCAACCAGACTATATTGGTAATCATCTTTTATTCCTTGAGTCCCCATACATAAAAAAATGATTGCATTTACGTGCCCCACGTCTAAGCTGTTGTCAAAAAAAGCACTAGCAGGTCCGTCTCCAACCAGCTGCAGAGGGAGCAGTGAGTATGCGCGTCATGTGGTTAATGCTGCTTTTCGGTGCTCAACCTGCTTGTTGCTGTTGTTAGATGCCATCAAGCTGGCTCTGACTCAGAGCTGCCCGATGTGCCATAGAACGAAACACTGCCTGCTCTTGTGCCAACCGCACCCTTGTTCTCCAGCTGCTCAGACTGAGTGAACTCACAGCAACAACCACTACACAGTTTTTGTTTGTTAGTTGACTTGTTAAATGAGTCAGCTCTAGAAAGGTTGGGATAGGTAGGTCTCAGTGACCCAGGTCCTATGGCATGCACAGTGTGAGCGAAAGACCCTCCTCACAGGGCTTACAAGTTTGTAACTCTTCACTGAAACAGACAGTCACATCTTTCTCTTACAGACTGGCTGCTGAGTTCGAACAGCAGACCTTTCAGTTAGCAACCAAGTACTTTAGCTACTGCACCACTAGGGTATAGAACGTTTATACCCAGTTAGTTTTCTTAGCTATAAAGTGGGCACAACTATACCTTCTTCAAAAAGCTGTTATGCACCCTGGGGCTCAGGACTGGGGTTTTGGCCGACACTGAGCTCAAAGGACATAACCGAGTCCACAAGGACAATGTTTTACATCCTATTTTCGTGACTAGATTGTCAGCAGCCCTCTAAGGTGCAACCATTAGTCTCCTCTTGTCTGGAGGAAAGAAGAGTAAAGAAAATAGGGGCTGCATAGAAACAGCTAGTCTAATGGACTATGCAAACAAGAGTCAATTTAGCAGCACTATATCGTGCCTGGCTAACACTACCAGCAATTCTGAAAGGGATCGTATTAGAGCGTCCTGGATAGAGTAGGAAAAAAAGGTGAAACAAAACTCAAAATGATAAGAAG